AAAAATTTTTTGGTTCACAGAGGATTGTAAAATATATTCCAATATACAGGATGTTCTTCAAAAAGCAAGTCAACATTAAAACTTTTTTTTTGATTCTACTAAAAAATCTAAGTACTTTTGACTAAAAAACCATATGTCTAAATTAAATTGTTTTCAAGCTTTTGAAATTCGAAAATTGACTTTTGAACATTTTGAAAAACTTTAGCACCCAAACGCCTAAAGTAAGGGTAAAACGGTTTACATGTCCATGTCTTATTTCTTCATACCTATATCTAGATATGCCAACTTTTGGTTTAACAGAATCTAAAAGATAATCTAACTTTCGGTTAAACAGGAAGTGGGTTATTTTATTCCATATTATTAGTGTTGGTAACAATGTTAAATCTAGTGAGTTTTTAGAACAAAATATATATAAGTTGGTAACAATAGTTGTACCAGCACAAGATGGCGTATAAGCAAAGCACCAGTTACAGGTGTTGATAAAAAACTGTTCACTGTTTCTTTTATATATCTTTTAAAGTTCCTTTTTAAATAAAAGTATTCCAAAACGATTTCGCTTAATCCACAAATTCTCATAATTAGTATAGAGTATAAAAAACTAAGACGGGGACATGTGAATCGTTTTACCCTAATTTCATCCATTTTGGTGCTACAGCTAGTCAAAGAATGAAAAAGTTAATTTTCAAATGTCAAAAGCTTAACAATTGAATTTAGATATATTATATTTCAGACAAAAATACTATATAGTGACTATTAAGTGACTATTAAGTCCTGGTCTGATTCGAATGGACTTTGTTTCAACACCAGTAAAACTGTAGCATTGTCTTACAGAGGTACTTTACAACCTATAACTTTAAACAATAATCTGATCCAAACGGTGACTTCAATCAAGTTTTTAGGTCTTTATATAGACGATTCTCTAAAATGGTCTGCTCATATAGATACCTTAGCAAAAAAATTATCCTCCGCATGTTTTGCCATTAAATCGTTTTCTAAAGAGCTGACTCCTTCTACTGCATTAATAACCTACTTTTCCTTATTCGAATCTCACCTTCGCTATGGTTTACCTTTCTGGGGTTCTTGTAGCTTATACCTTTTCGAATCTATTTTTAAACTGCAAAAAAGAGCAATCCGCTATGTATTTGGTTTAAGTAGTAGGACACATTGCGAAAATTACTTCAAAAATTTCAAAATTCTAACCCTTCCTGCTCTATTTATTTTCGAATCCGTCTGCTTAGTTCGCAAGCACATTCAAAATTTATCCGAAAGACCGACTTGTAGATATCCTACAAGAAATTTAGAGACTGATGTTTATTTAACAATGCCCACTTCTGACCTATTAAAACATTCCATTACCTACAATGCCAAAAAATTGTATAATAACCTTCCGATGCAATTAAAATCTATAAATACATACGATAAGTTCCGAAGACTGGCTAAAGCTTTTCTTCTAGAAAGACCATATTACACAGTAGCAGAATTTTATAACGTACCTTAGACATTTGAGTTCCACATACAATGGCATTAATTAAATAATTAAATATTAAAGTTTAAATTTAAATTTAAAAATTAAATTAGAATAATTATAATGACGGATATTGCATATCCATTGCAATTGTTATTCCTATTTTGTCTGTTTGTTTCTGTTTGTTTTTTCTGCTGTTTAGTTATTTTTATAATATGTTTAGTATTTATGTTACACGCTTTGTCTATAAAATTTTTGTAAATTTTTTTACGACAATAAAGCATATCTCTCTCTCTATATTTTTTTAGTAGAATTCAACAATAAATTAAAATATAATCAATTTAAAAAAATTATTCTACCTTGCTTTTTGGGGAACCCTGTATATTTGAATTTTTTTACAAAAGGCGTCTCTTCGAATCGTAAAATTTTTGTATTCAAAATTTTCTCAAAATTAAAAAAAAAACGAGATATTGGATTTCCACACCCTGTATAATTAACCAATCATATTTTATGTTTCTGAGCACCTGAATATTTTTATTTACCTCCATGAATACAAATTTACTTAATATTGTAGTAAATAAAACATTTATTAATTATATTAATTCTATTTTTGTACCTTTCTTTAACTAATTTTGCGAGAACACGATTAAGCTGAACAAATTTTTTCGCAAATGCAATACTTCCTCATACGATTGGAATATAGTTTTCACCGTTTTCCTTTATGGATATCTAACATCAATATCTGATGACGAATTAAAATACTGTTTTAAGGTTGTGCTCTGTATTTGTATGCGCATCCACCATATTTTATTTTAAAATGTTAGAAGAATATATTGGTCCTTCACCAAAATTTACACAGCAAAGTGCAACAAATGAGTAGAACTTCCGCTATCAACCTATACAGCACAAAACGTTTTTCGGAAATATTTAAAAAATGTAATGTTGTATAAATATTTCTAGTACGTTCCTGTAAACGTAATATTTCAGAAATGTATTCTAATTTTGTTTCATATTAAAAAACGTTGTAGAAAGGATTCTAAAATATTTCTGGAATATCAAAATACCGCTTGAATGCAATATTACATTGTAATATTTTTATTAGACTAAAACATGACATTTAAAAATACACACGTTTATTTAGAATAATACAAAACAGAAATTTTGATTCTAAAAAAAATTAATACATTATTAGTTTTAACGATTTAATAAAATCGACACCCACATCGAAGAAGGTTGTAACTCAATTTTAGTGATTTTCAGTTTTTTTTTTAATATTTGTGGACAAACTGAATAATAATAAGAATAATAACAATAGGGTGGGTGGCTCAGTGGTAGAGTCTGCCTGTGGATCCAAGGGTCCCAGGTTCGAATCCCACCGTTGGCAGGAATTTTTTTATTTAATTTAATTATTTAAAATTAATTCTGATGCCTTGGTAGGATTCCCCACTCGACCATTCACTGTTGGGTTCTAATGAACAGTGCTGTTCCTAAAGTGGCGCTGGGAAACAGTAACAAAGCCCACACAGAACACGAGGCTAATGACATTAGCAGTCGATGCCGATGACAACAAATAAAAAAAAAAAGATAATTAGAACGCAGTGGGGATTACTTATAAAAAAAATGAATGTTTAAATTTTATAAACAATTAATCAGTTGAGTTTCATTGAGATACAACCTTAATAATTAACTTGACAGAATCGGTTGGTTTGATTCACGTTCGAGAATTGTTCCAGAATCATGCGCAAAACTATTGCGTAATGGTTCTTAATTCTGTAACAATTTCATTTATACTCGAAACCAAAACATTGTCATAACAGTAAAATGTCAAAAAGTTAATTATAAATAAAAAAGAAGAAATAACACAGGGTCAATGCTTAAGTAAGAAAGAGGCCAGTAATATAGTAAAACGTAAATAAATTAAATAATTTACTACATTCTCATTTGTCATTTGAAAATTCCTTGTAAAAATTATAAAACAAAAGATGGCCAGGATCCCAAAAACAAAACTACTTTCATAAAAGCGCAAGCGCAATCATATCAAGTCTGAAACAGTTCTTGCTTTGAGCCAGGACCGAAGTTAAAGAACCATTCTCAAGAAAAGCCAAATCACAGAACAGAACAGGTTTAAAACTAGTTATGGTGAAAGCTAAAGAAAAAATATCTACTGCGCATGCTCCAAAGGTTCTGTAAGAGTTCTGGGACAGTTAGAAAAGTGAATCTAAACAAAGCTAAAGATACAACCATGTTACAATGTAAAAGGTATACTTTTTATTGCTACATTAAAAAAACATGCAAACAAAAAGGTTGTAAGGGGGCGTCCATTAATTACGTGAGGTGTTCAAGGGGGGAGGGGTGAAAGTAAAGTTAAATTAAAGTAAAGAATATTTCTAGAAATTTTATATTACAGCAATATTCTCAAATACTAGTCTTTGCTAGTCTTAAATAAAAGTGATAGAATATGTTTCTGTTTTTTAATAAACCAACGCTTTTGCACCCAAAACACAAATTTTGAAAAATCTCACGTGAGATTAATGGAGGGGGGATGGAGTTGAGAAAAATCTTACAAAATCTCACCAGGGGGGAAATGGGATTCAAAAAATCCTCAAAAGTACCTCACGTAATTAATGGACGCCCCTAACTCATTTTACAATCTTTTAGCATGCTATAATATATTATTCGAAACTACAAAATTTGAGGTAAATAAAATTGTAACACGTGTTACTGCTTTTTTAAGGCTAAAATGTTGAACGTAAATTAAAATAGAACTTTTTATCAGCCAAACCATTGCGGATTGATATACTGATAGATTTGCCTCATTTTGCTGAATACTTCTGTGGCTGAATTTAAAATTGACGTATCGTGAGTTACAACCTTCTTGCGAATCGCTTGTTTTTAATCTATTCACGAATCTCTCGCGATAAACGCAATTTACATTGTGGTAACCACAGCGCAATGATTTTTTGAATTTCCAATTCCGTTGATGCTGGATAATTGTATCTGATGGCTTCTAGTAAAACTCTATACACATTTTTAAAATCCATAAATTTTGCCTTCTTTTTTTGGCCTTTTAGGCTAAATTCACATCCAGCTCTATTGCTTAACATCTTTCTTAAAATATTAACTGTAATGTGGTGTGTATTGTTTCCACCGAGTCCTCTAAATGCTCTAGCCTGAAACAAATTACAGGTACTTAAAAAAAAAGGATTTCAAATAAATTATTTAGTAAACAGTAGTTTTATTAATATTGCTTTAAATAAACTATAATAAAACAAGCGATATATTATACCTACACAAAATATGAAGCTACTCTTAGGTTCTTTTCAATCAGAGCTGTAGAATTAATAAATAAAACTAGGGGGAGGGGTAACAACTAAATATAAAAAACTAAAATTATGCATAAAGAAGATTTAAAGCACCAATAAAGAATAAACTAGAAACGTATTTTGAAGGACTTAAAAATATTTAATTAGGAACTAATTCCATGCAAGAACCAATAAGAGACGAGGACTAATAAGTTAGTTACTTAAATGCTTACTATTTTTTTATAAAATCCCTCTTCCATTTCTAATCGGGTGTCAAAAATCTTCAGTTCGTCTTTGGAATTTATCGGAAAAATGTTATCGAAGTTATCAAAGGAAATTACATCTTTCTCATCGTTTTTGTTCAGTAACATATGTTGTTCCAACCTTTTAACTTTTCTGATGAAAGTATCAAGTTTAAATGCCATCCTCTCGAACTCTAAAAATATTTATAGAATTAATCAAAATAAATCAATTTATTTATAAATAATCAGAACGTTCATAATTTCTATCGTCCGTCTAATTTTATAAAATAATTTTTTTAATTTTATTTTTTAGATGACACCTAAGCGTGAACGCTTGTGTTGTGTCAAAATTATATAACATAAAGGAATATGTCTTTAGAGTATTGGGCTAACTTAGACTCTAGAGAAAAAAAAACAAAGAAGCAAAGTTTATTATGTAAAAATTGCCACAAAAACAGAAAATAGCTACAGATTTCTTCTATCCCGCGATATTGTTATATTATTTTATTAACCAAAGAGTACCTTAAAATGTTACTGTCGATGTTTTTCGGCGATATTTTGTTTTTGGAGTATCCCTTAACAATGTCCAGCAGTAATCGGCAAGCAAACTGGCACTCCACTTGCCTTGGTACCGTTTCTCCATAGCAGAAATATCTTAGTGGAACCGTTCCCCATGTTCGTCACTTACCGCCCCTAAATTTTCGGGGAAGAAATCCAGATGGGAGTCCAGAAAGTGAATTTTAAGGGACATGTTACGACCCATTTCATTATAGGCAGTAGTTCAGTCACAAGATCTTTGTAATTGTCAGCTTTCACATTTCCAAGAAAATTTGCAACAACGCTTTTAAAAGTACTCCAGGCTCGTAGTTCAGTTTCATTGAGCATCCCTCAAATGTTTTATCTTTCATTACTTCTCTTATTTGCGGACTCACAAATATGCCCTCCTTAATTTTTGCTTCACTGATTCTGGGAAATTTTTGTTTCAGATACAAGAACCCTCTTCCATTTCTGAAGAAGAAGGGCTATTACTTTTAGGTCTCCACATATTGCCCAACCATACTTATGATAACGAATGTGCTCTAAAAGAACTCTCATATTCTTATATGATTCCTTCATATGAACCGCATGAGCTAAGGGCACAGATGGATATTCGTTGCCGTTATGAACCAATACCGCCTTTAAACTAAGTTTAGAGGAATCAATCAATAGACGCCAATCACGTGGATCATGTTTCTGTCCTAGTGCGTTAAACAAAAGGTTAATTTCTGAACAGTATACTAGATCCCCTTCTTGAAGAAAGTAATTTGTGAGGTCTCTCTGCCTTTTTCTGTAAAAAGTAATCTTTACATCACTTTGGAGAAGATTCCAACCTTTTATTCTGGATGCTAAAAGTTCGGACTGTGATTTTGAAAGGCTTAGATCTCGAACTAAGTCATTAAGTTTACCCTGTGAAATTAGATGCTGTTGAATATCCTGGTAAATCAAATAAAGGATCGGTTGTCATTTCCTTTGCGGTTTCTGTAACATCACTTAAGGAAGCAATCGATTCTAGTTCTTTATCAAGACTAAGATTCTGGTGCTTTTGGAATAGGAAGTTATTCACTGTGTTTGACAGATCTTAAAGCTGATGGTAAATTACATTACTTAACCGAATGTTTAGACTTCGGTCCAATACCTTTGGCACTGCGAAGGGCATTTTACGATTTGAACCTTTTAACCAAGCTGTTAACAATGTTACACAAGTTTTACAACAGATATGAGGGGCCCATGCTTTGTCTTCGTCCCCAAATTTAACACCAAAATATAGTTCGTAAGCTTTTAGCACAAGCGAAGTCAAATTACGTTTTTGCGATTTAATAGTTCTCCGCACACATATCAAAAACTGTTGGCACTATTTAAGCACTGCCTAGGCATTGTACCTAAAAATCTTAAACACAGTAATTTAGAAAACGTAAAAGAATGTGAACTCAAAAAAGTTTTGCTCTCCAAACACAGAAAACGTAACCGATTCGGATACCGTTAGTCTACTCATTTCTCTATATGGTCACCTTCAATTAAACAATTGCACCTACTCTACCTATTATAAGCTATTCTTATTTAACTTGTTTGTCTGCTACTGTAAAACCATTATTTAGAAAATTCTTCCACAAAAGGTTTTAAATAATCATTAGAATCTTCTGGTTTTTGAAGAGTAAACTATATCTCGACATTACATCAGAAAACAAAATGGGTCAGAAAAAAGAAGTTGACGATTTAACAAGTGGTCCTCAGCTTGGTAAGTCAAAATTAGTGTTTTTATTAATAATAATATTAATAATAATAATAATAAGTGTATTAAGGGGGTGGGTGGCTCAGTGGTAGAGTCTCTGCCTGTGGATCCAAGGGTCCCATTTATTTAAATACTTATTTATTTTATAACGCTATTATTCTAATTTATATATATTTTGAATGTCTTTAAACTGTTCACTATTTATATTCACCACTGTCTATCTACTAATGATCTCGCTTAGTCCTCCACCAATATTTATATACAAAGTTAAAAAATTGGCGAATGTGCTAGAAAGTTCACCTATTCTCACCAATACACTAGAAACATTATCCCGTTCTTTCTCGAATAGTCATAGAAAGCTCCTCCGCCATAGTCGTCACATATGTTTGGTCTTAAGGGGTTTTATTATGTATGATAATCGGACAAGTTGAGCCAAATAAGACAGAGAGGGACTTGGAGGATTAGAGCATAAATGAATAATGAAATGGCTCACATTACAATACCATAAAGGGAAAACAATGCGTGAAATTTCCAGTGAATTGAATATAGCAACAACTACTGTGTTTAATATAATTAAGAAATATGGTGAAACTGCCAGTATTGATGTTCGGGGTAGAAGCTCAGACTGTCCAAAAGCTGTTTCTCAAACAAGTGTAAGGTATTTAATTAAAATATGTAAGTCGGGAAGAAGAAATATACTACGAGAAGTAACCGCAAGGTGGAATAGATAAACTGGGATAAATGTTTCCAGAGAATGCTGTCGCAAATATATCCACAAGAGCGGTCTTAGTTTGTATAAAGTATGTTTAAATTCTATGAAGGCCTGGTTGGTACAATGCCTAATAGATTTCAGGCTGTTATTCGAGCTAAGGCGACGTTACGCCTTATTAATTGGTTAAAAAGCACCAATATTTAGTTGTCAGCATTTTTCGATTGTCAAACAAGTAATTAAATAGTAATCAACATAAAATATATAATTAAACCGAAAAAATAATTCCATACATCATAAAAAATATTGTTAGTTAATTTTATATTTACATTAAAAAAAAAAATAGAATGAAAGAATTTCGGCAAATTGGCATTTTATTCGTAAAATAACTGCTTGTTCCAACATATAGTCGTTAGGGATAGCTGTACCTTTTTATTTATTACAAGGCAGGCACCTTTTATATGTGGGTACTATTGCTTGCATAGCTGGAAAACTAATGAAAAAATATGAAGGTCTATTAGGAAAACTGGTGTTTTGAATAATAGTTTTTTTGTTTGCTAATTTTTATTGATGTAAAAAAGCGATCAGAACATTTTGTATGTCAAAATTAATAAAAATAAAAGATATGAATAAATTTGTTTATAAAAATAAATAGGTATGTACAGGGTGATTCAAAAATTAATACTTTTTTTAACTGTGAATAGAACTCATTACCACCTATTTAAGATCGGTGTCCTAAGGACACCCTTCTGTTCTTGTGATAATAATTCAGTAGGAGATCTTAATCATTTGATATTTGCATGTAACAACCACAATAAATATAGAAAAAAATTTTTAACGAAGTTATTAGATATAGGGATTTCTTTTCCAACCAATAATACGTTGCTATTGATCTCAAACAATAAAAAAGTATTTAATACATTGATAACATTTATTAAAGAATCTAAAATTAACATATAAACCAATAACAATTAACAATCAGTGGTAACATTTGTAATAAAAATAATAATGTCTGTGGCAAATGGGTTAATCCCGATGCCAGTCAACCACTGCACACACACACAGAACTCATTACAGTAAATAAAAAAGTCAAAATAATAAAAAAACAATCACAAGGAATCAAGTTTGGTCACCTCGGTGGCTCATTTCTACCGTTCCACATATCCTGGAAAATATCAAAAGCCCAAAAATTCCCGCAAAACAACACCAGCTTTGTTTTTTTTTTTTTCAATTTATGTAACTTTTTTCTTTCTTTCTTGCGTGGTCACTGAGGTATTTCTTAGTCTTTTTTGTTTTTTTTTAAGTGTGTATTTTAATGACTTCTAAACAGTAAAAAAAGTATCAACTTTGTAAACACCCTGTATAATTAACGGAAATTGTATGAAAATATACAGTAAAATTATTGTTTCTATATAATGCAATAGAGACTATTTGCTCACTAGTTCCAGCGTTAGAAGGCGCTAAATAAACGCTTTACATGTTGAGATGATGATAATAATAATAATTTCCCAACAATTCTCTCCCTTATACTTCAACCCAACCACGAAAAACGATATTAAGTTACTACTAATAGGTACGCCATACATCACTATGATGCAAATGCTTCTGGGTGATTCTCGCCTAACTGTGATTTTTACAACTTACATTTTTCTAAAATTAAAAATGTTTCAAAACGTATGTTTTACGCGTTTTTGTTTTCTATTTATGCATAGAAATAAGCCTGTAAAGTGATTCTACTACAGCAACGACACAAAAACTGTGACAAAATTTAAAAATTTTAATGCCACGGTACTGACATTATTTCCACGGTACTGACATATAAATGATTATTTTTTTTTTACCAATCCAAAGATTGGTATAAAATTGCAATAAAATTCAATGCAGTATGCATTAGATTGTAGTTATAAGAGGTAAATTTTATATTAAAAAATTAATTTTGATAGAAATTTATATATTTAATTTTAAAAATGAGAATCGGACATGCCACGGTACTGACATTTCGAGTATATTTATATGCAGCTTAAAATTTGATGAGCAAAACTTATGCTAAACGATAAATAAAACACTAGACATAAAAAATCACAGTTAGGCGAGAATCGCCCTTCTATAGACCTCATATATTGCTAAGAGTCTCAATTTAAAATATCTGCTAACGCTATATGAAAATAAAAACTCTGAAGATCGTTTAAAAGAATCAGAAACGCTAGGAGATGTAA